ACCAGAACCCCTTTACACAAACCCATCACAAATGCTCATGTTATGTGCACCAAGAGACCTGCTGTACAGGGAGATTGTTTAGGGTTCTCTGCCCAAAATTTGGCATTAGCTCAGAGAACAGCCACAGCAACCGTCCTCCTTCCACCTTTCCATCTCCTCCTCTCTGCTCCTCCAGATTTTCCTTCTCCTCCACCCAGTATCCCCACCACCATCCCATGCCCTTGCCCTTCCCCATCCCTGTGCCATGGGGGGTCCCAGGGTGCTCTGTCCCCCTCATCCCCAGTACACCCACCCCAGTCCCTTTTGGTCCTTCTTGCTCTCAAGCAAGCCTAGGAGTTACCATCACCTTCCATTGACTCCACCTTTGTACACCTGAAAGCAATTTAGGGCAATAATGATCATTTTGGATGACACAATTGAGCAGTTTCCTACTACGAAGTTCTTGGTCCTACCAACCCACAGAACATGCCCCAGTTACAAATGCCCAAGGAGGCAACTGATTTTTGTCCTTGCTGGTGTTCAGCATATGCCCATCGTCACGAGTCCTCAGGCTCAGCATTGCATCTGCAGATCCTGCTTCTATGCCAGCTCATACAAATGCTTTTTCCACGAGCCTGAGGCTCAGCAAGGAGGAAAACAGGGCAGCTGGAAATTAGAGGGAGCGTGTCCATCTTATAAATGCCCCTGTGCCAGTGTATGACAGAATTCAGATTCAGATTTCGTCTTTATGGTGTTTTCAATCCAAAACAAAAACTTAAAAATTAATTAGATAGGACTTCTGTCTTCCAATACTTAAAGGGGACCTACAGGAAAAATGGAGAGGGAGTTTTTACAAGGGCATGTAGTGACAGGACACGGGGCAATGGCTTTAAACTGAAAGAGGGGAGATTTCGATTAGATCTAAGGAAGAAATTTTTTATAATGAGGGTGGTGAGGCACTGGCACAGGTTGCCCAGAGAAGTTGTTGCTGCCCCATCCCTGGAAGCGTTCAAGACCAGGTTGGATGAGGCTTTGGGCAACCTGGTGTAGTGGAAGGTGTCCCTGCCCATGGCAGGGGGGTTGGAACTGGATGATCTTTGAGGTCCCTTCCAACCCAAACCATTCTATGATTCTAAAACTACAGCTCTGAATGAAAATGTCTGTCCCAGCCCTGAACCTAGATACAGTTCTCCCATTTTCTCGATTATTAAAACTAGGCCAAGTCTGGACCTATGTCTTACGTGTCTTATAAAGCACCAGACATGTCTTGTACGAGGTTCCCTTCTCGGCATCAACGGGATGCAATGGTGCAAAGGACTCTTGGTCACGGAGCCAGTGCAGGATGAGGCACCTGACACCTTTCCCTCCCAAGACACGTGCACCGATACGTTACAATATTCCTCTGCGTCTCACTGGGCCGCCCTCCAAAATCTGACTGTGGATTTATATACTATTTATTTTCATGCAACATGTAAGTGGGGGATATTTGGTTTTGTTTTTTTTTTTTTCCACAGTCTGTGGTGTTTTTGTTTTGTTTTTATCTCAAGATGACTAATTTAGGAAGAATGATCCTGTTAACTTTCTCAGGAGGGTGGACTTTCTCCTCCTAGCCGTATTAATTTATTTAATTTATCTTAAATTTGATTGCAGTGAGCACCCCTAATTAACCTGATTTTTTGCTGATAATCACTCACAATGGAATCAAATCACAAATCCGGGGATGGATTGACCGGCACGCAGAAAGAAGCCGCCCTCCGTGCGTTAATTCAGCGAACGGGATATAATTTGATCCAGGTAGGAACCCACGGTCACGTCCTTTTTTGCTCAGTGTCTGGCTTCATCCTGAAGCGATGCGTTGCATCGGGGGCTTGAGCAGCAGATCTGGGCGCGTGAAGCTCTTCTTGCTCGTTCTTTTTCTCTCCGTTTCCCTCTAACACATGTGCTGCACGTAACGATGTACGAAAGTCGTTGTCTTTTGATGAAGTGGGATCTTATTTCTCCAGGAACACTTTGCCCAATGCCAAGTTAGGATAAGGGTGGGGAGAAGAACCTGAGCACTGCTAAATGCTGGGAAAGGTTGGGATTGCTGGTTCAAAGCCGTGGCTGCAGCGGTAGCGTAGCGAAGAAAACTCACTAAGCAAAGTTTCAGAGGGGTGTAGGTCCAGGCTTGGCCACAGGAAGTCCAACGTGTCACCACCAGATCTGCCTTTTGTACTGATCTTTGCACATGAACGAGTGCCTGTGAGGCAGGTACCTCACCTGCCCAAACATCAAAGGTTTCCTCCCAGTTTAGTCTTCAAGGTGTCCAAGTGCCAAGCCTCTTCTGGTTAAGGCAGGTGGAGGCTGGCCATGTCCTTCAAAAGCCATCTGAAGAAGTCTTTCTCAGTTAGCATGACCAAAACAAGCTAATTTTTCGAAACTGTTGGCGCTAATATGGCTGACCTTGCATGCTGGAAGAAGGGACAGAAAACAGTGAGTTTTAGGCAGGTGGCTGCCTTGAACTTTGCCTAGCTTTGTGTAGCACTAGAGGGCACAACAGCCCAAAGCAAAAACGGCGCCTCTCCCTATAGCCCTTAACCTTGTGTGTGCCCCAGGACCAGGTCAGCCTCTGGATTTGTTGCCCTTGGCGAGGCTTTCTGCTGTACATGACCTAGAAGATAAATATCTTCTCCATGTCTTACATTTACTGTGGCTTTCTTTGTCCTGGTCTTCAGTTTTTCATACTGTCACATCCGGCTACAGCTCATTCCTAAACCACACATCCTCACCCCACAGCATCTTCTTTCTCCCTACCTTTTCCCTTTCTTTGTCTTCTCTTTTATTTTCCCCTCTAAATTTCCTTTTCCACATCTCTTTAGGCTTTCCTTCTAACCTAGCTATCGCTGCAGCCCAACACCTTCTTCCTCAATGCACTCCAGGGTCACACATCATCATGAAGAGGATGGTGAAATTCTTCCCTCCAGCCACCTTGTCAAGATGAGTTTGTTGAAATGCTGCCTTCAAGCCACAAACGAAGCCACTGCAGATTGAGAGAAGACTCAATTCCTTGCTGTGCCTCCTCACACACCAGCTCCCACATACATTGACAAAATGAAAAAAAAAAAACAACAACTCTCTGATTGATTGTCTCTCACTTGGCTTAAAATGGGACAGTAAGACTCCTTTGGCCATTTCAGACCATTGTTGATGAGCTCAGCATTCCTCTGGGTGATTAACTTCTTCCTTCAGCTGACACACCAGTGAAGATCGCAGATGACTGCAACAACACAAAACACCACCATCACTTTTTTCCTTCTCCTAACGAATGGCTCAAGAGACAGAAGTTCAGTCAAGCTGGGGGCAGAAAAACAGCCTGAAACACCATGGTCTTCCTGTTAGATTTACTATAAGATTTCATTCATAAATTCAAATGTCCCCACGACTCCATCACTACCTTGGAAACATTTGCAAAACAGGAAGGAACATGGATAATTCAGGGTCTGTTGTAGGCTTAGGAAAACTAAAAGAGCTCATGGCACTTTCTTATTTTCCTGCAAGGATCCCTGCTTGCTTACATGGTTTTGACTTCCCTCGTAAGTCAGCTGTACAGGCATTCACTTGCCTGGAATAATCCCAGGGTGGGAAACGACTACAGAAAGGGTCAGGGTGCCAAAAATAGCAAAATGACCGGAGTCCCAGGTCAGGGTGCCAAAAATAGCAAAATGACCAGAGTCCCAGCTCCTCTGGGTGCAGAACATCACTGCAGGACAGGAGAGGGAGAGGGAAGGAGAGAAAGGAAGAAGGTGGAAGGAAGGGAAAGAAGAGAAAAAGAGAAAGAAAAGGAGAAAGAGAATGAGAGAGAAAAAGAGAAAGAGAAAGAGAATGAAGGAAAGAAGGAAAAATGAGAAATACAAGAAAGATGATTGAAAACAGGAGAGGAGAACGGAGACATACCTAGCAAAAACATAGCAAAGAAAGGAAACATTGGCTGGTTGTCACATCTTTGGATATTATCTGGGGCCAAGACCTGCTCTCTGCCTAAAGAAACTCTTGAGTAGACAGTTGTCATCTATGGCCTGTCACCTGGCCTCACCCCAGTGACGGCCCTCCTCTGTCCTCCCTGTGGGGCTCCTTCTGTCATCTCCTCTGCCCACATCTCCTCCCCTGCTGGGCTCCCTCTGAAATCCCCAGCACAGGTAGAGAAAGGGCTTCACCGCTCCTGAATGTGGGAAGGTGGGTGGACTTTGGGGTGCACCATCTCCCCATGCCCATCTCCAGGCCCAGGTCCTCATCACAGCTTGTGCCAAGTGTTGCCGCTTCTTCGCTAAGCCCAACTGCTGACGCAAACATCTGTTTTCAAGCACATTGAGCAGCTCCAGCACCACCTACTGCCGATGATGCCTCGGACTCCCTGTCTGGGCCCTTTTACTTTGTCCATGTTTCTCCAAATTTCTACCTTCATTCTTCACTTTCTGAGGTCCAGATGCCTTCTGCTTTTGGAAAGTCCTTCTGTTTTCGGATATGATCCTTCTGATCCCTTTTCTTTGGGGTCTATCAGATACTAAAATAACATGCAGTATCATTGCTAATAAGTGTTTATGATTGAATGAAAAATCATAAAAACTTACATGTTTTGCAAGTGTAATATTACATGGTCCACAACTTACACACAGTCCACAGAGATTCACCTGCCATAGCCAAGATGACCTACATTTTCCAAGGAGGTACTTGTCTGTCTCCACCTCGGATGTCTGAAGTAGCAATTGAGTTGCAGAGCACACACTGATGCATGTTCCTTAGCAAAACTCAGCTGGTATGAACCAGACCCTTCTCCAGTACATCACCAGCATACTGTCTGGGTTATCAAAGCCTTTCAGGACAGATATGGCAGTAGGGCTGCCAATGCACACTGTCTTATCTCCTGTGAGTCTGTAAAGAGTTGCTCCTTGAAGGGATGGAGTCTGTCTGCCCACTGGTAACAGACCATGTCTAAAGTGTCATTCCCTGGGAAGGGGTTGGTTGCATCCACATTTAAAATCTGTATCTAAACCATTCTTTCATTTTTCTCCACGGCAGGAAAATGGGCAGAGGAAATACGGAGGCCCACCACCTGGCTGGGACGGTCCTCCACCGGAGAGGGGTTGTGAGATCTTTATTGGGAAATTGCCCCGAGACCTCTTTGAAGATGAACTTATACCACTGTGTGAAAAAGTAAGACTTTACGGTGGGTAGTTGTATTGCAGAGGTTAGTGATGACCGAAGGTGCATTTCAAGGCTGAACTGGAGATGATTTGGCCCAGACTACTGGTGGAGCTCTGACGGGATCAAGAGTCAAGAAAGCACCTGGTCTTGTCTAAACACCTCCCACCTCGCTGACAAAACTTTTTCATTGTGTTTGCAGATCGGCAAAATCTACGAAATGAGAATGATGATGGACTTTAATGGCAACAACAGGGGCTACGCCTTTGTGACCTTCTCAAATAAACAGGAGGCGAAGAATGCGATAAAGCAACTCAATAACTATGAAATCAGGTGAGCGTGGCAGACACCTTCACATCAACTTCGCATCATATATATTAATCTGTTTTGTTATATAAGGCATATTTCACCTTATAGCCCAGAGGAAGGTTATTTAGATACTTAAGCTTGAAGAGGAAACCACCTCTTGTCACCCTGTGCGGCCGTTGCTTTATGCCATAGTACAAAGGCAGTACGTAGGACTCATCAGAGTCAAAATCTTTTGCAGGAAATTACTTCCTTACAAAAAAAAAAAAAAAAAAAAAATTCTACCAGAACATTGGAAAAAAATATTTTGCTTTGGATCAAATTAACTTTTGCCTAATCATCGTTGTTTATTTTGTGTTCCCCTCTGGGCTGTTTTTTGATGATTTATTCCTCCTCGCAGTCTCTCTCGTGACCTGTACTGGAGGTACATTCTGTGAGACGGTGCGATTGCAAAAAAACTGTGAAATAGGATGGAAACCAACTGGCAAAACTGTGACATTTCCTAATAGACAGGAACAAAAAAAAGCCCTCTTGTTTGTGACTAAAAATTGGGAACAAAACACCCAGAGATCAACAACATATGGGCCCATCAATATGTTTTGGTTTGATTTCTACCACACTTAATGGTTTTTTTTTCGAATTCAAAGTGGGATGAATAGATGCCTTTGCTTAGAAGCGTTTAGAGATAAACCATTCTGGCAACTTTATGGCTTTTGGGTTTGTTTTTGACAAAAAAAAACCCATGAGCTGTGGACTGCTTTAGTGGCAACTCTAAGGATGAGCAGGTCACACAGGGAGGGCTTGGAAATGTGCGTGGTGTCAGAGGCTGGAAAGTCTTAAAGATCAGGCTTCATCCACGTCCACCACCTCTGCTTACTTCCCTTGCTTCAAAGACTCCTCTAAAGAAGTTTTTAACTTCTCAAGACCTGCAAGAGGTACTTGGACCACAAAGAGGTGAGCAAAGTGCATGTAAGGAAATTTTTGCTTTGGGATCTGTACAACAGTTGGCATCAGTAAGCCCCTAAATGGTGTCCCTCCATGGCAAGGGATTTTCTTTCCCCAAAACCTCAGCCGTGAGGCCCAATGGTGACTGGGAAACTACAAGTCACTGGTGAACACAATGAATCCTGGCTTGTACTGGTGGCAACACAAGAGTCGCTGCTGTGACCATGGGCAGCAGGTACACTTGCTGGGTAGCAGCTGGTTTTGCAAATAGCAGAAAGGAGAATCCCAGAAAGCAAAAGCAAAATTTGGCTTTGGTTTCTCCCTGATCTCAAATCCTTCATTTCAACTGTATGGACTTACTTTGACGTCAAATTTAGCAGAGTAGCAGCTTCATGTTAGCTTCTGCATTGAGCAAGACCGCTTGAATATCCCAAACAACATACACCGCAGGAGCAGGAGGCCTTGTGTTTGACCTTGTGTTTTGGGACAAGAGAGGAGTTTTATTTTAATTTTTTTCCTCTATTTGAGAAATGAATCTGACTCCTGACAAACCAGTAATGTTGTTTATACCTAGGAACGGCCGTCTCCTCGGAGTCTGTGCCAGTGTGGACAACTGCCGCCTGTTTGTGGGAGGGATCCCTAAAACGAAGAAGAGGGAGGAAATTTTAGCAGAGATGAAGAAAGTCACGGACGGAGTCGTGGACGTCATCGTCTACCCTAGTGCAGCCGATAAAACCAAAAACCGTGGTTTTGCTTTTGTGGAATATGAAAGCCATCGGGCAGCAGCCATGGCCAGGAGAAAATTGCTCCCAGGTTAGTACAGATGGTGAGAATGGTAGGGATGGCTTCTTCTCAGGGGTCACCTACGTACACTGTGGTGAGATGGAAGTGTCCGGAGGACCCAGGTACCCAAGGAAGTGAACGCTGCTGCGTTTTCTCTTCTTGCCTGCTGGAGACAGCCCGAGCAAGGAGGGATCCCAACACACCATGACCGAAGTGTCTGGAGGACCCAGGTACCCAAGGAAGTGGATGCTGCTGGGTTTTCTCTTCTTGCCTGCTGGAGACAGTCCGAGCAAGGAGGGATCCCAACACACCATGACTGGCTAATGGAGTCACCCTGGCTTTGAGGGTGCAGCGTGGGCAATTCATTATAGATCCTGATGTAACACCGTGCTCGTTATCCGTGCTTTTCTTTGGAAGCTGGAATTTATTAAAAATACAGCTAGATGGCTTTAGTTGTGTGTATCCATACAGCTCTGTTGCAGGATATGTATTATCCTGTGGTTATCTTGGGTTACATATAAAATATGGCCTCAATTACAGCCTCTCAGAGAGAATCACTCAGGAAAGCATCCAAGAACATATTCAGTCTTGAGAACGTACCGAAGATGTTCCTGAAATGGGATGTTTTCCATGTGGGAAAGAACCTTCAGATAAGGAATTGCTTTAGGATTTTTACAAGGGTGTGTAGTGACAGGACAAGGGGCAATGGCTTTACACTGAAAGAGGGGAGATTTAGATTAGATCTAAGAAAGAAATTTTTCACTCAGAAGGTGGTGAGGCACTGGAACAGGTTGCCCAGAGAAGTTATGGCTGCCCCATCCCTGGCAGTGTTCAAGGCCAGGTTGGATGAGGCTTTGGGCAACCTGGTGTAGTGGAGGGTGTCCCTGCCCATGGCAGGGGGGTTGGAACTAGATGATCTTTAAGGTCCCTTCCAACCCTAACAATTCTATGATTCCATGATTCTATTCAAACAATATAAAGAATAAGTCTGTACCATTTAGCACTGGGGGACATTCAAAGGTCGTTGTGAAGCAGAGAGATGTTTGGTGGGTGTTAGATGAAGGTGTCCCTTAACATGAAATGCATTTGCAGGGATTTCACCAGTTTTCTCACGCTTCCTTACACTCGGCAGCTCCTGCACTGCTTTGTTGAACCCAGCTCACTTGCTGGTGAAAGAAACCAATAAACCTTCTGCTTTGAGACTTGTTCATAACCCAC